AGAAGTTAATTTGACTTTGCATTCCAGCCCTGGCATTTCCCCCTCAAAGTACTAACAAAATCTAGCCCCACTTAAGCTTCCAAGCCCAGGCAAGGTTTTCCACCAGGAATTACTGACTAAACTGGGAAGATGAAAAAATATCCTGGGGAAAAAGCACCGACAAACACTGCATGTCACCAGGAGTCACACTCAACTTCAGATCATTTGCAGATATAAGATATTGTATTAAAATTATGTTCTATGCCATGATGAAAAGTAAAAAAAAAAAGTGTTATTCTAGTTTGTCCTTTTTGTTATACAAAAGACTCAGCGGGGCACAGCTCCTTTCATTATAGATGCTCCAAATCTCTGAATTTTTTTTTAATAGGTTTTGCTGACGATTTTCACAAGTATGCTGTTTGGGATTTCTAATTATCCCTTATTTTATTCTTTGTATTGTTTAAAAAAAATCTAAAATGGAAAATAACATAGTATTACTGGGACAACACAATTAGGCCAGGTTGTGACCTATGTTATGTCTTGACTTCATCATCCTTCAGATGTGCATAGGGCCTGTTTATCTGTGGGACTGCCTTTCTCCTATTGCTTCTGCCCACCTGGTACGTTCAAGCAAAGTGGGAGTGCTCCAGGTCCCTTCTATTAAATGTTGCCTTCATGTGGGACCTAGGAAGTATGCCTTCTATGTTGTGGCCCCCACCCTCTGGAATAGCTTCCCTCCAGAGATATGAATGACGCCCACTCTCCTGGGGTTCCAAAAAGCCCTTAAAATCTGGCTTTGGCCCCAGGTTTAATATGCTGGAGAGAAGGGCTGTCATGTTGTTTTAATGGCTGTTTTTAGTCCAGGCTGTTTTGTTTTGGTCTATGTTTTAACTGTTTAAACTTGGTATTAGATTTTGTGAGCCACCCAGAGTCTGCTGGAATGTGCGGCTATAACAAATTTAAATAAATGTTAAATTCCTCAGCATGACTGTTGCTGAGAATTTGGGAACTAAAAGCCCATATATGTGGAAGGAATCTAGCTTGGGGAATACTACATCTCTCATGTTTTCCTGTTTCTGTGTAGGTTCCACTTGTGCTAAAATATCGGCAGCGAATTCAGTTCAGTTACTGGCTGCTGATGCACTATCTCTATGCACAAATGTTTAAATATAATCATCATCACTTATTAAACTTGTACGCTGCCCAACTCGCAATGACTCTGGGTGGTACACAACAATCAAGCAAAGAAATTACAATAAAATCAATAAAGCATAAAAGATAAAGATAAAAGATAGCAAGCGCAACAGACCATATGGAGTGAAGCAAGGGGCCTCACTCTCCCTCCCCAAAGGCCTGGGTGAAGAGCCAGGTCTTCACAGCTCTTCTAAAGAATAGCAGAGTGGGGGCCATCCGGATCTCAGGGGGAACCTTGTTCCAGAGAGTAGGCACTGCTACAGAGAAGGCGTGTTTTCAGGGTCCTGATAGATGACATACTGTAAATATAACGGAGTATTGCATGATAAATATTCCAGCAATGGAATGCCTTCCACAGCTAACATAATTTTTATCAGGCCAAAATAATGTTATTTGGCTAGGCCAAGCACGCATACCATACTGAGGGTGCAAAAATCATGATGACCTTTAAACGGCAACAAATAGTTATATATTTTCTGCATCCAATGGTCATCTGAATTATTGTAGTCAAGATATGGTATGCCTAAAGCCAAGGTTAGGCAACCTGGTGTTTCTCTTCCCCCAAATATTTTGGGCTTCAGTTCCTACCAGCTCTAGACAATAAGCAAGTGATTGTGTAAGCTATAGTTCAAAACATCAGAGTTAGCCTATTGCCTTGACCAAAATATTTCGTGTACAGTATGTATATAAGAAGCTTGTTTTTATAGTTCTACTGTAAACACTGTCTTTATCCTAGCTGGTGTGTTTCATTTTCTGTTGCTTTTCTTACATCTTTACATCCCACTAGATACAGATCATATGGTCCAGAAATGTAAAAAAGCCATTTCCTCATGTCTACATATTGTGTGAATTAGGCTTGCTTCTGGCCAATTTGCATAGATATAAGTTAAAAGGAAATTGGAAGGAGTAATCAGGGAAACCATCTCCATGCCAAAAATTCTCTCATACCCATCTTCTCAAACCTATTTAACAATGTTTTATTCAAAGCATCTTTTGATGTACAACCAGCAAGTTATGCCTAGATGCTCTTGGCTGAGTTCATATATTGTTATTCGTAAATGTTGGTCTGTGGCTTAGCATGATGTGTAAACAAGGCCTATTTGAAAACTATGGTTAAAGAAATAATTTAATGTGTAAACCCATTGCCTCTGTGCAGATCTGAAGATGGGTTGGACTGTGCTTAGAATGCATAATCAGTGCTGTTCTTTCTCACAATCCAAGTCTATCCATCCACAGTTACTTCAAAATTATGATTATTTCTGGCATGCTCTTCTGCATTCCCCATCCCAAATTCTACAGTCAGTTTGCAACGCCACCTTTATGTCTTGAAACTGAACAAAGTTCTCTATGTCTATCTTTTCCTTCTTCATTAAGAGTTACTTTACCAGTAGAGAATAGAACAACTGCTTCTTCCCATTAATTGACTCTTTAGGGTGGGCTGAAAGTGGATCAAGGGATGGGAGTATTTTTACCACCTGACTACTTCTTCATCAGTATGCCTGTAGCTTCCAATATGTAAATTATTATTAGATGAGAATTAAATAAGAGGTTGAAGGGATTTTTAGAAGAGTTAAGAGGGAGGGGAGATGATATGTTTGTTAATATCTATTGAAGAGAAGGTCAGATGTCATTATATTTCATAACTTTAATTTTCTTTCTTTCTTTTTTCTTTTTTAGATTTTTTTTATCCCACCTTTATTTTTTTATAAATAGCTGAAGGTGGCAAACATACCTAATACTCCTTCCTCCTCCTGTTTTCCCCACAACAGCCCTGTGAAGTAAGTTGGGCTGAGAGAGAGTGACTGGCCCAGCTAGCTTTTCTTGCACTTCTTTCTTCTTTTTTCTTTCTTTTCTTTTTCTTTAGATTTGCTTTTTTACTTTATGTAAAATCCTCAATATATTTAAATAAAAATGTTAATTATTATTGTGTAGTGTTTATAAATAGGTCATGGCTGCATCATGCATCTTCAGACTATTCCACAAGACACACCTGTCAAAACTTGTTTTGTGTGTGCAAGTGTTTGGTGTTGGAAAAACAGGAGGCATTTAATAAGTAATTTCATTAACACATTATGCATTTCATGGCCTGTATTCTGGATTAGTATCATCTCAGGGAAAACACAATTTGTTTTGCAGTCAATTTATCAAATCACAGTTCTGGATCTCTTTTTCTGTTCAGGACTGTTACTGCCTTGCCCTCTGGCTTGAATAGCTTTGATGAATTTTACACTAATTTTATCCTAGCAGATGCATAGCAAACTGGCCTACTGTTCTCCACAGGATGATTTTCAAGTATATTTAACATTATTACAACATAATCCTCAAAAATTCTATAGGACTTTCATGCACATCAGCATTTAAAAAATTGAAGACTGAAGGAATCTAGTCTCTTTTTATTGTTGTGCATGATTATTGCCAAATAATTAATTAATTATACAGTATTTAGGGAGAGTAGTTTTACAGTATACTTACATCCCTCGTACAGAAAACTAGAATGCAGTTATTAATTTTTTAGAAAAGATCTGGCACTCTGCCTTGCTGAAACATTCACCTGTGAATTTGTGTGTATGTGTGTGAGAGAGAGAGAGTAGTGGTGATGGTGTGATAATATCTTCTAGGGATTCAAAAAGTTTGAGCGATGTAAAACACAACAAAAACACAAGGAATGATTGTTATCCTTCACTCCTCTTTCTCCTTCAAATCTGACAGTCCAGACACTTTACATTACATGGGTATTTGTGCATATGCCATGAGGCCTTTAAAGAATGTGTGATGGTATAGTGCATTTATGGGTGTTTTTTTTAATTAAGATGGTGATTGAATCAGCAAAATAAATTATTTGTTGCTATGCCAATAAAATCTTGATATTATGCAAGATATTCTTTTCTATCCATATGTATGATATCAACTCCCACACATATTCTGGGAGTAACTTTATTATGCATAAATGAAATTCTTTACTGTTCCATTGATATGCAACTGCTGCATAACATTTAACACTATATTTTGCAAAAAGCATTCAAGCTGTTCTGATCACTACTAAATTATCTAATATTTGCCTGCACATTGACTATGCAAGTAAGTGATTGGAAGATGTGAAATTCCATGTATAGACCTTGTATCGGCCATGAACTCACAAGATTTACTGTGTGTAATCGTATGCTTTGTTTGAGCTAGTGTCTTGGAAAATCCAGGAGTAAGACAGAATAACTGTTATCCTGGCTTTCTTGATTAAATCCATCTTTTGTATCTGCTCTAACTTTGCATCTTTATGACTGAAGTCGAGGCTTGGCACAATACAAACACATCAGAAGTAAGCCAGGCAGCCATAAAGAAAGCCATGCATCCTACTTACCCACCACCGCAATCAAGTGATCAGAAACAAGCCGTGGTTTCAGACAGTTTGCTATCTGAGTACCAACCAATTCTGTAATCAAGCAGACTATATTAAAGCTTAGTACAATATGAAAACCTAGACTCAAGGGGAAGCTATTAAGAAAATATTTTCTTACATCTGTAGTCTAATATTTTATTAGTGACATATTATGAGGAATATAAGAAGCAGTCTTTAATCTTGCCATGTGTTTTTTAAAGCCATAACCAAAAAAAAAAAGATGTAGAAAAATTATGCATTCTGGGCAGCACTATAAATAATTAACTGTTTCATCATTCTCCTTGCATAAATGGAGATGAAGTTTAACTTTGTGGCTACATTATAAGAACATCAACATGTAGTGATCTGAGTGTTTTTCTTGTCTCCATGGTAATATTTTACTGCAGACCAAAGTTCAGCTGTTTTACTTCTTTATTACTGTTAGTCCAAAGTTTATGGGTGTAGACAACATGCCCTCGTTTTCCAGCAAGAGGGGCAAAACCTTCCTATACTGGAATTCTCCTCAGAAGAATTGAAGAACTGGGTGCTGGAGGAGAAATCTTAGTTCAGTTCAGGAAAACTCTGCTCTCTTTCTAACAAAATGCCATCCAGGCGAAAATCCTTGCTGTTTGCCTCTGCTTTTTTCACCAGCATGTGCTCTTTTGTGATTGTTTGCATTGTTCTTGCAACTAAAAACTGGGTGTCAAGTGAGATTACCCAGTCCGAAGAAAATTCCAGTATGAAGCTAATAATTACATATGGACTTTTCCAAGGAGTTTGCTCAGATAAATCTGGTGGAATTAGTTCGCCACGCACCGAGTTTCAAGGTAAATAACAAGTGAAGTGAATAATGCTAGTCATTGACCAAAATTAATAACTCTCTCTCTCTCTCTCTCCCTCCCTCCCTCCCTCCCTCTCTCCCTCTGAAGTGAATGTGTTGCTATTGCTGGGCATAGCTGGGTTTCATACAATCAATCTAGTATTATAAACTTTCAGCCAAGTGTTCATTGTTTATACAGTAAGGCATTTTAAGAAGACAAGTATTTGTTGAACAATAAAAAAATGGTAAAAAGTATTTTACAAGCAAACTTTAAAAAGCTATTAATATTACTAGCTATATCAACAATAATAACAAAAATAACAAAAAGTTAATAAATGTCTTGTATATAATGTGCATTATTGTAAATTTATTGTGAGCACAATTCATATAATTACAAAGGTGCATTTCACTAGGGCCTCCATATAGTTAATCTGTAGAATTCAATCATATGCAGTGTAGCAATAGCGTCACTTGGATTGTTTTAAAAAAATTATTGGAAGATGAAATTATCAACAATTAATCAAGTAGTTCCATATTACCTGCAGTCCAATAGGAGCAGGAGCAGGAGAAGCAGACTAGCAAGTATATAGAACGAGGAAACAACTACTAGGAAGTATTAGAATGTGAATATATATAAAGCAAAGAGAAGTGAAAAATTAAAGGTTTTATTAAATAAATACTTTCATTTTACTTTGATAATTATTTTTGAATGAACATATGCACTATTTCAACAATGACACCAGTCTAGATAACTTTATAAGGAAATTATACAAATTCATGGAAGATACAGTTCTTAATGGCTATTAATCAGAGTGGCCATACATTACTCAGAGTATCTTTCTGAAGACCAGTGGCTGTTGAATAGAAGCTGAACTTTTTATCCAGCTCATCTCCAGCTGGTTGATCACTCTGGGAACATAATGGTGGATTAGCTTGGCCTTTGGCCCACACCATCTATAGCGGAAGGTTAAAAAAAAAAAAAACCAGCAGTGATGTTACAGGTCTGCCCCTTTTGTAGATGCATGGGACTACCATCTTAATTTTTTTTTAATCTGCCTTTGGCCACCTTATTGTCTTATTTTTTAACAAGATGTTGTACATATCAAAATGCATGAGACAAACAGGAAACCTAGTTGCTGAACAAGCTCTTAATGTGAAAGATCACCTGATCCTCACAGTCTCCAGGCTCCAATGCAGGAGTCCTATGGCATTTCCAGAGAAAACTGGCTTTTATCTATTAATTAAACTACAGTATTCCTACTTGTGATGTTTGTTACCATGGTATTAAACATGGTATGTTTATAATTAAAAATAAAAGTACTTTGATTTTAACTGATAACTTTAGTGAGGCTTTTCTAGATTAGATTGGCCTTCAGTACATTATTTATGCTGAATAACAAAATGAACATTCATATTTGTTGTTTTCCTAAATATTAGGCATTCCAAAATGTGCAAATGAAATTGTGGTGGGACATAGACAAGAATCAGTTGTGTAAATTCAAAATAAAATCAGGTAATCCAATAATCTTTTAAAATTATAAATAGGGAACTTCACACTTCAAGCAGAGAACTTCAATAATATCAGTTAATATCTGTTAACTCGTATTATTTTAATATTATTCTATTTTATTAGTGCAATTACTGAAAAGGGTCAAGCGGCCAAAATAAAACAGAATAACAAAGAAAGTTGTCTCCCCACACTAATAACAATAGTAAAATTTCTTGTCCAATAACACAATGAAGAAAAACAGTCATAATAACAATAATTGCATACTGCAGAGAGGGAATCTACCATAGTATCAATAACCAAAAACTCTCCAGAACAGCCAGCAGGATTGGTGCAAACCTGACTTCTGATGGAGCCCTTTTCTAAAGGAGGGAGGCAACAACAGAATAGGCTTGCCTTCATGGTCCTGATTATGATCATCCCTCAGGGATATGATTTTGAAGAGTGCCCCCCCCCTAGATGTTATTGGATGGGCAGAAATCAGTGGGAGAAGATGGTCCCTCAAGTATTCAGATCCCAACCATATAGGGCTTTAGAGGTGACTACCAGCACCTTGAACTGATGCTGAACTCAGAAACCAACTGGTAGCTCTCATAGTAGTGATGTTACACAGGCAAACTGAGAGGTGCCCATTAATACGTGAACCACTGAATCCTGGACCAGATATAGCTTAATGTTGCTATATCTAATATCTAATATGAAATTGTAGTCATATCCTCTGACCTTGTGCTGGTAGATGACTTCTTCCAGTGGTCCAGTGGTCCAACTGAGAAATGATCAAGTCATGAGTGACTGTGAGCAGGGCCTTCTGATTTGGAAATGGTTGTAACTAGCACAAATATTTAGTTGTAGAAAGGCCCTCTTAGTTACAGTTATTACAACTGCCCAGAGGTGCTGGGAGCCTGGGAGCATATAAATTTAATATATCATCATTGTCACCACCACCACCACCACCATCATCATCATCATCATCATCATCATCATCATCATCATCATCTCCTTTAGCAGGAGTTGTAAGTCAAGGAGGACCCTCAAGTTAGAAACTAGTTCAGTCCAGAGGAGTGCAAATCTGACCAGAACTAAAGATAGAATATCACTGGCATAACTAAATCCAAAACCGCATCTATTCTGTTTTAGAGAGATTGAGCCTGAGTCTCTTTTTCCCATCTGGATTCTGATAATGTTCAGCACTAGGACAGTTACAGTACTCAACTGCAGCTCAGGGTCATGCACCTGGTGTACACAGGATATCCTCTGACCTTGTGCTGGTAGATGACCTCTTCCAGTGGCTTCAGTTACATGTTAAATAGGAGGGATGAGAGAGCAGAGCCCTGGGGTATTCCATAAAGAAGGATCTTAGGATTCAACCTCTCTGCCCCTATCACCACCAAATGGAACCAACTCTGGGGGAAGAAAACCACTGTAACACAGTACACCCCAGTCCCAACTCTAAGAAGTGGTAAAGATGGATACTCTGATCACTGATATCAAAGAAAGGCAAGGTCAGATAGGACTAGGAGGACCACACTACTATCCAGGTCCCACCACAGGTCATTCTCAAGAGCAGTCAGTGTAGTGTCAGTGCCAACCACATTATTAGACATGATAGCTAAGTGAAGCCTTCAAACTCAAAGCTAACATAGCTCTGAAAAGAGCAGACAATAGGAGAAAGGTCATTACAGTCATCACCCCATACTCCTTCCCCCCATAATGGGCTGTGGGAGGGAGGAACCGCAGCCTAGAAACAGTCAGGCAAGAGATATCTCAGCCCACAAAAGGAACAGGGGTGGAGAAAGCATCTCAGAAGGGACCCTCCCTAGGTCTCTGGAAAGTAAAAGCAAGGGAGGGGAGAAGTGCTTTTGACTTGCAAGATTCTGTTACTGTAACCTTACAATAAAGGTAGTGTTAGTACTCATGTTTTTGGTTGCTTGTCTGGACTACCTCAAAGGGCTGACACCCCCTCCCCCCACTTTTCAACATATAGTATATGAATTATTGATTGTTTTATATTATTATTGTTGATTTTATTGTGCACTGCTCAGAGTCATATTTTGTGAAATGGATGGCTATATAGATATGATGAATAAATAAATAAATAAATACCATTACTAAAAGCAGCTAATTCAATTAAATTAAGCTCCTTCTCACTGAACATCACACTGGAGTAGGTAGCTATATTGAATCTAATAAATAATAATAATTCATATATCAGACCATATTATATTATTTTTCATATTTTATGACCGTGCAAAATACATTTTGTCATGTACCATAGCACAATTGAATACATATCTTCTGCTGTTCCTGGAGAAACTGAGCAAGAGAGCTAAATGTAGAAAGCTCTGAGGTGTGAATTATACAGAGGCTATTACACAGCATTTCTTGGGTAGCTAGAAATTCGTTGGCAAGAGCAATTTGCTTGAATATTAAAAGGTCAGTTAATTAGTAGCCTCACCACAACTAAGAAAGGCTGGATATTATCCTCCAGATTTCTCATGAGCCTTCCTTGACTGAACAATAAATTTGGTCTCTTCTCTTACATTTTGCATTCTAACTGCAAACCATGACACACAATTAAACTAGCAGACACTTATAAGGCTGCCATTTGTGATTTATGTTGTGTAATAAATGACTGTGGGCTTTCTTGGGCTTTCCAGATGATCATAGAATGAGGTGTCTCACATTCATAAGCTATTCCTCATCTCCCAACATTAAAAAAATGTTTTATTCTTATATATATTCATAACCTATTATGTTCTAAATGTTTAACCATAAAGCAAAGGACACTAACACTTTTGTTCAGTTTAGGTTTGATCTAAAATACCTTGCCAACATTTACACACTTCTAGGCTAGCATAAATATTTGACATTCTTACAAAGAAATCAACCCCCTTCACAGACATTTCTGTGTATACATATAGAGAGCCTACTAATGATTCTCAAGATGAACTTGTCATGATATGAACAATAGATAATTTAAGATAATGCATAAAATATTTTGTTGGATTATAGTTGAATGGATTATATTTGAATGGATCATATTTGAGTGGAAATTGTTATGCCTTCTCTGTTTTGATTTTATAAACACATACAGTAACCTATTTTTGTCTCTTTGTTCTAATGTTTAAAACGCAAGATTTTGGCAAAGAATTATGGGATAAAATATACATCATGCCTTTGAAATATTAAACCACTACATCAAATTATTAGTGCTTTGCCAAAAAATTTTTCCTTTAGTTTTCTTTAGTTTGTCAGAAAACAAATTGTTTCTATTTTTTTTTCCCAAAGAAGAACATACTGGTGAAATTCTAATGGGAGGAAAATGCTTTAAGCTTACTTTGATACTATGAGATGGTTGCAAACTAGGTGTTAGATAGTTTGCCTTTCATTGTACAATAATCTCTCCATCAGATTGCAGCTTCTTTGCCTTTCTACTCTCCAGATAAATTTCAGGGGAAATTATTATGAGCTTACCTACTCCCACAGGATTTTTTTAAATCAGGAGAAAGTAACAGCCAAGAAGTTGCATATTAATGGAAAGATGTACAGCAGCACCTTGCACCTATAAAGTAAGCTCACAAACATCAGAAAATAAAAGAATTGTTAGAATTGTCTTATTAGATAGACAAAGAGCAGTTTCTTCTATAGGAGAAGAAAACTTTCAAGAAATTGGAAAGATTTTGGTATACTATAAGAAATAAAATCAAACACTTATTTCATGGATTTTTGACAATAAGTAATAAGAGAGAGAAAGTAAGGAAGACTCCTAAGACTGCTGAGAGGGATTTCTAATTTCTACAAGCCCTAATACTTTTCAGATCCAAGAATAATAAATGTATGGAAGAGACTAATCACAAGGTCTCGACAGAGATGAATGAATTGTATGAACTGTACAATATACACATGTATACATGTTTTCTTGATGTGATCAGAATCTTTATAAAATGAAGCAGAGTCACTAGTATTGCACACAGAGCTATATGCATTCAGTTCTGCACAGATATGCTCTGTTCAAATAATTAGCATTATACACGACTGTTTGGAGAAAAGAACATCTGCAAAATCCCAGCTTTTGATCACATATTCCCATGCACAATAGTCAGTAAATGTCTTTAAAAAGCTAAAGACATTCTTAATCAGATGCTGTCTACCCATCATTTCAATCAGTGTTGTGACTCCATTCTATCTAGACAGTGCCCAGTTGGGAACAGAGAATCCAACATGCCTGATATTTGAAAGCAGCTGTCATTATCATCAATTGCTTCTTTAAAAATCCTATATTTTTACTTTTTTAATTACCCTGATAAAAATCAGTTTTTTTATGTGGACATTGTAGAAAGAGACAGCGATGTTAATCTATGGCAAAAAAATCAGAAATCTGATAGCTATTGTTCCAACCAGCCACTCTACACATCTGATGCATTAGCTACAGTTCATGGAAGCTAATGCCTTTTAATATTTTGCTAGTCAGAAAAGTTGCTACCAGGTTCTTTCATATGAAATATGACCATATCTATATTACTTACATTATCTCTACATCTTGTGATACTAATTATGAAGTATTATGTTTTAGTTACAGATGATCTAGAAAATACTACTATGAAGACTTTCAATGGTGTGATTATATTTCTGCTGGTTTTTACTTTGCTCAGTTCCTTCCTTAGTTCTGGATTTACCTGCTACAATGCCATTAGCAACCCATACCAAACGTTTTTGGGTCCCATTGGAGTTTATACCTGGAATTCTATATCTGGTAAGTAATGTACATTTGAGCAGATATGTCTTCAAAGAATTGATAATTACATTTTAGACAATTGCAACTCTGAATGTGGAAAGAGACAGAGCCAACTATCATTAATATTTATAAATATTCATATTAAATACTACTAAATCCATTAACTGGAAGTACAAAGAGGTTTAAAATATTTTAAGCAATCATATTAAAAATAATTTCTGGTTAACTTCATTTACTAACTTTCAAAGAAGTTCTCAGCTTTCCTTACAAATTAGGAGCCAATATAAAATCAAAACAAATTCCAAAAGAATCCATTAAAAATTAAATATAAATTTTGGATATTAGACCTTGAATATTCTAACATAATATTTTCAAAGGCTGTTGGCAGTCATAATGGATTGTATTTTTAACAAAAATACATCTTATGGATTGTATTTTTAACAGAAAGACTCATTTTATTCATTTGTAATCAATTAAGGTTCATACATTCCAATTTCTGTTTTAAAATATCTTCTGGAATTACTTGATTATTTATAATATAATTCCAAATTACAGTCAATATCAGCAAAGATCAAGGAAAATTATTTAAGTGATTCATAGATGGTATTATGCTCCTGTACAAAATTACTGGAAAAGGCCCATATAAATGTGTAAAGTGTAGTAAAAGAAAGGGCACCCATATGCATGTCTGATGGTCATGTACACTGTCCAGAAGTGATTAGATAGATTAATAGTACGGATAAAAGAAATATTAGTTGCAGTCCAAAGGTATGTTTACTGCCATTATTTAGTGAGGCAGCTTAGAGAATTAAACTAAAAAAGCTGTTCAGTTCATGATGGTTGCATCAAGGCTGGCTATACTGGAAAAACCCAGAGGCTCCGTCACTAAATCCCTGGTATGAAAAACCATGGAAAATTGTAGTAATAGAAAAATGGACATGCAAGAGATGGGAGCTATTGGGATATACTAGAAAAGTTATTTTTGATTCAATTTGAAAAAAAGTACCCTATATACTCGTGGATAAGCCCATCTGCAGATAAGCTAACCCTTGAATTTTTAACCCAAATACCATGAAAGTGCACCACCCATGGATAAGGTGACCTGCATTTTTCATAGTATTTTGGTTAAAAATTCGAGGGTCAGCTTATCCGCAGATGGGCTTATCCACGAGTATATACAGGAAATATGGGTACTTTAAAAAAGTACTACCATATATACTCGTGGATAAGCCCATCTACCGATAAGCCAAACCTGATTTTTGGGGTATATTTTGGCACCCAAAATTCTTGGCTTATCCTCAAGTATATACAGTCATACTTTGTGCAATGCATAATAGGCTGCATTCCTCTTTGTTTTAACCCCAGTACATGCAAAAGTTGCTATTGGAATCTTGACTTGTTCTTAGATCTTTTTAATAAGTGTGTTGGTTTTCAAATTAGACACATACACATACACCCCCACACACATATATACTCTGTGTGTGTGTGTGTGTGTACACATACATATATAAATTGACATGTGAACTGAGACTCAGAAATATTTCAGATTATACAGTAAGTACAGCTAGGCAGATAGATATATGTGGAATCCTTGGTTCTCTTTGAGCTTGTTTTGTTTGCCTGAAGACGTTTCATTATCTGACTCAGTAACATCATTCAGCACTGTCCTTCCTTGTGTTAGCCAGTCTAGATGGGAGCCTGCTGCTAGCAGCTGGTGCATCTGTGTTGCTAGGCATTCATGCACTGCTGTTAGCTTCTTTAGCCAGGAGGTGTGGATCATGTCCGGGCCAGGTGCTGTCCAGCTCTTCATGTTCTTGACCCACTGTCGGATGTCTGCTACTGTGATGGTGACT